ACACCTGTCCTCCTACAAAAAATCAGTAAGACTATGACCCATTATATGCTTTTCACTCACTTTTCCTCAGAAAATTACTCTTTGTTGCAAGAGGAATAACCATTTCCATTCTTATTATCACTTTTCTTACCCCTGTTGTTTATGTCCTTTTTTATGGTTTGGTTTTGGGTTTTTTTTAATCCCTACATGGAAAACTTAGTAGAAGTTGTCATTACAGTTTTTCTTGAATACTGAGGTTGTTGAGCCTAGTAAGTAATCTTGTGTTACAATAAAATACTCCTTTGGTGCTAAGTATGTATCCTTTGAATCTACAGATACTGTTTTAAGTTCCCTGATGTTTTAGCTAACTTTTATATAGAAAATGTGATTGCAAGGACCAGTCGTGATGTATTTGGAATAATATTAAAAATCACTAGTGTGAGTCATTTGTAAATGATAGTGTTTTATTGATTTATCTAGAATGTTATGATAAAACAAACTGCGGTTTTGAATGTGTTACTAATTTGCAAGTTGGTGTTCAAGTCTAATTTAAATTGTTAACAAAACCAAGGAACATAGATCCCCAATATTAGTTCACCTATAAGGAATAATCTGTCCCGTTTTGTTCAACTAGATCCTTGGGCCAAGTGAAATTAGGAATCTCATGTGGTTTCAGTGGGTTTTTTTTGCATTTTTGTTTCCTGTATTTATTGCAGATTTCCACTTGGATACCTTATCTTTGATGGCAGCATGCATGCCTGGCCAGAACAGAACACCTTGGGCTCTGTTCCTGCACTTCTCAATACTCAAATGGGCACTGTAGGTTATACCTAGCATTTCCAACCTCATGTTGTGTGGTGTTATGATAATGTCCTTTGTATAGAAACCCATCATCTGCAGCAACCTCATCTCTGTAGTCGCAATGAGTTTCACATATGGAAGTGGCTGGGCTTTTTTTCTGTTAGAGTAACTCATTCAGACTCTGGTAAGGTTGAGTCATTCCATTTTTCTCACTTAAGTTTGTCGATTTTTGTCTCCAAAATGGAAAATACTTGAGTTCTGTTTACATAAGACCCTTCATCATTGTTTTCATTACTGAGAGATAGTCTTAAAAGCATGTACTCTCTAAAAAGCTCCTTAAAAGCCATCTGCATACCTCTGATACTGTGAAATGTTCCATGCAGGCACAAAATCGCTTGCATGAAGCACCTTGCAGAATCAGGGCCTTAGTAAGTTTTCAATACCATGAAATACTCTGAAATTAGAGGCTTCATTTGCACAATGGCATCTGTGATACCCAAATAGCTTATTGCATCTTTCTTTATGTACTTAATTATTTAAAATATAAGATATTGATAGCTGTAGGCTTTTTTACTGTTTGGATTTTAATCAGTATTTAAAACCATTTGCCACTTAGTTACCACCTGAAATAGTCTCAGTTCAGATGAACGTTCACTGAATTAGAACAATTTTTTCAAAACAACCTGTATGACTTAAGTGTCTAAACTTTGTTTTCAGAAGGAATGTAAGTGCTGGGCATCCACATCCCTTCAACTTCTGTATGCCTACCTTTGAAAGTGGAATTCAGTGTCTGCTGTAACAACTTAGGCAGTTTTGAAGATACAGCTCTTAGCTCCTAACCTCTTCACTAGTCACCAAATATTTCAGTGTGAATGTTTATTTGACAGTTCATTTAATTTTCAAAACGTTTCTCTTGTCAGTCATTCCAGTGCCATTCTGTGCAGTCCTTAAGCAGCTATTCTGAGAGGAGCACCTAATTGTGATTAATTATCAATGAGTTTGCTTAGTTATGCTAACATGCCCAATGAATCTCTCTAAGGCCTTCTTGTCTTGGAGTCTTTCCATTTGTGCAGTTGCCTCCGCCTTTCTTGGGTTTGGTCATACTTCTTTGTCATTGAATATGTCCTACATAATTAATCTCGTTCAGCCTGGCATTTGCTCATATTCAATTCAAGGGTCTTTTCTTTGGCACAATTTGGTTATTGTGCAAACTCCCATTGTGATGTTGATCTCATTTTTGCTTCAAATCAACAGATCATAACCAATTGCTCATTCCATCCAGATCCGCAAAGATCTGCAACATGATGCTGTGGTATATCCCAAGTGCTGAGGCAATCCCCGTGGGAAGTTGCATAAAGTCTACACTTACTAAAAGGGGAATTAAAAGTGCAGTGTTTTGCACTTTCTGTGTTTGGTCAGACTTGCCAAAACCCTTTAATATATACCCCAAAATCAAAGTAATTTTGTCACTCGAAGTCCTAAGTATGGTTGTCTGGATCCTCAGTTGGTGTAAATTAGCATAGCTCCATTGCCTTCAGTGGAGTTAGGCTAAGATACAACAGTGATGATCTGGGCAGATGCCCTCAGCTGCTCTCTTGGGTTAGCATTCATGTTTGATTGCCTTATTTAAATCTTTTGAAGTTATAATATTCCTTGCATTGTTTGGTTTCTTAGAATGGCCAATTGCTAAGTCGATTACTCGGTGTCTGTATCTGCACAGTAACATCTGATTTTGCCATGCAGTTAAGTTCACCCCTTTATTTCTATCTCAGTGCTATTGGGACTTTATGTGGCACACATTTTGCAGCACTGTAGTATCTATATCAATGTTTTATATCTAAAATATCCCACATCCCTCATAAACGCCTCATCATAATCTTATTTTACAATATTTTTTTTGTATTCCCAGTAAGTGGAATTTACATTTGCTCATCTGCATGTAAAAACTGCTCTTCTACCCTAACACACACAGAATTTCCACTGCTTCAAAGTCTGCTGGTTTCTCTCCTTCTACAGATAATGACATTGTGCTCTTTCAGCATGGGCTCATTTCGTGTACACTGTGTGAAACAACCTTAGATTTTGAGGAGTATTTTAACACTGGCCATCATTAATTATTTTTGTATGTCTGACTATGCTCAAACTGCACTCAGCTCCAGCAGTATGTTTTCTGGAATAAAAAAGAGGCAGAGGAGGACTGCGATATAAGCACATTGCTATTGGTATCTATTCTTTTTTGGACTGTGGTAAGAAGGAAAAAAGACAGACATTTAAAAAAAATTAAATCTAAATAAACTATATTTAGTATTCAGTTTCCAGAATTATGCTATTTACATAGTTTCATTAAAATTATCAGCTGTGAAATAGTCCATCAGAATGATATTTAAAATGCCATCTTCAGACTTCAGGCTTCAGACTTAACACTACATGGAGATGAACAGAATCTAGTTTCCAAATTTTCTGGCTGCAAATTAACGTGGACATCATTATGAAAGCATATGATCAGCTTAAAAGAGCTATAAATGTAATTTATTCAAAAGAGATTGGATATTGGAGCACTTTTCTTCTGTATTAAGTTGGAAAGGAATCAAATCATGCAGACACAGTTTGTAAGAAAACCAAGCCATAGTATTTCTTTTATTTTCTTTTCTTCTTTTTTTTTTGTTACGTTTTGTTGTTTGTTTTTTTTTACAGGTAGAGAAGTATTTTTTCCAGGCAGGTCAGTCTGGTATTTTTCTTGAACACATAAATCACACAAAAAGCGTGTTAAAGCAGACTTAGTAGAAAAGCACAACTTACTTATTTTCCCTATTAAACTATGAGCTTACAGATCTTTTGTTTGCTTGTATAAACTGATGATAACTGAAAGAACTAAAATGACCCTGTGTTAAATGCAGTCCTGAATGCTGAATTCAGCATTTAATGGGTAAACAACATATAATTTACTTTTTGACCATATGACCTGAATCTCTAATTCAGCCATGAGTTAGACATGATAACAGACAATAGATACAAAAATGAAAAACATCTTGGTTATTTCTTACAAATATTTGTGTATTTTTCTTTTAAATGCCAGGGTTATTCTTTAAAAGGGAGTGAATTAAGTAGCTGCTATTTTAACTTCTGTGTCTTTCACAAATAAGTTTTCATTTAAAACCTGTAAATGTTGGGTATACTGGACACTGCAGAGATAAATCGCTGGGTTTGTTCCCCATGAATAAGAGTTATAAATGAATTATGGAAAAAAAACAGGGAAATCATAAAAAATTATATGAAAAGAACTGAATATTTTTTTAAAAATGATAGATTATGGGTTTCTCCTCAAGGCTTCTCCAGGAACCATTGTAGGTGGTGATTTGTTTACTTCTGATGCACTAATCAAGAAACATCTGTCAGGAAAGCGTAAGTATGTTCCTTAAGTAGAGGCCTAATGGAGGATGGGCAAGGGCCTTGGTTTTGAGTAACACCCAATACACCTGTTTTGACTTAAACTGAAGAATCTGAAAGAACAGAACCAATAAGAATTTTTTTTCTTTGTTCTTTTAAGCCAGCTAATCCTCAACACTCCCATTCACACACAAAGACCTTCAGTGGTTCTAAGTCTTTGCTGAGACCTGATCCAAAGTCCTCTTAAGCCAATGGAAAACCTCCCACCGTCTTTAGCTGGCCTTGGATCTGAGATTATGTTCTGTAACTGTGAAAATCTTTACCTGAGCAGCAAGGTTTTAATGCAGTGAGAACAATATTACAAGGCCAAATTTCACCCATAACCCCATGAGCAGAATTTGCACTCCTTACTCCTCAACGAGCAGTTTCAGATTTTACTCCATCTTAGACTGTAAAAGCTGTTATTTCAGGCTAGTGGGATTGTCCTTAAGGCTAAGAAGAACTTTTTCTGACTGTTAATGTCAGTGAAAATACTTTCCATTCAAAAGTAAAGCAAATGTAATTAGTGAGTTGTTTAGCAAAACAGTATTTTTTCTCTGTAAATTTGCCTGGCCATCAGAACAGGAAATATGACCGTTTTTAGAAAAAAAAAGTTTCTAAAGCCTACTGCCAAAGGATTCAGTTCTGTGCAAGAGATACAGTCCCTGAGTACTGGGAAGTGGCAACCTGTGGGAGACATTTCTGTAAGATGTAGTTCTCTGGGCAACCTGTTCCACAGTGTTTCATTTGACCTTCCTTAGATGCTATATTCATCTTGAAATTAGTGGTTTTCCTATGGCTGAAGGGGTGTAAAGGCTGGAATTCTGCCTCTTCCTTGTTCATGCCAAGAGGTTAATAAGATGCTCTTCTTCCTCTTCCATGTTGTGTATAGCCGAAGATCACAACCTGTCAGCTAACCAAACACAGAATCTGTGTTTCAGCCGTGTTCCTGCCTTGCATATTATTCTCCCAAATCCTCATCAGGAGGAATTTAATTAGTAGGAATGTTTGTGAGGACAGTGATTTTTAAAAAAAAATTTGTCAGAATATGAATACAGGATGTAATAATTCACTCAGAAAATAGAAACTTAAGGTTCCTCTTCTCCAGCCTGGAAAGATAAAAGTGTTAATCAATGTTTAGTTGAGATCTCTATCCACGCTAACCAAGTGAATTAGAATCATAGAATCACAG